CCCCTTCCCCCCACAGGGGGGACGGGCCCTGGCCATAGCAGCGCTGGACATGGCCGAGTGCAACCCGTGGCCACGCATCGTCATGTCCGAGCACAGCTGCCTCAGCAACCTGCGGGCCTGGATGCTGAAGCACGTGCGCAACGCCAAGGGCGGCGCAGGCGGCCCCCGCAAGAAGGGCCCCAGGACCCCGCCCAGGGGCTCCAAGTAAGGACCGAAGGTGGGGGAAGTGGGCTCCCAAGAGCTTTGCAATGACTAGGCCCGTCCAGCGCGCCTCGGGGCCAGCAGCAGTCGTGGCACATGTCAGCTGGACTCTGCCTCTCCACCTGGTGTTCTTTGGTTTCTGGGGGAGCCTGGAGGGCTTGGCTTGTTGCCTGCAGACCCTGGGACCACTGTAGCATCCCTCAGGCCCTCCTAGCCAATCCTCTTTGGGTTGGGGGTCAAGGCACATGCTGCTTTGGGCCTTGTTCCATCTGCCCTGGTGTGGTGCTACCTCCCACTCAGCAGCTCTGCAGGCTGCTGGACATGTTCCCAGCACAGTGCGGGGGCTGGGCTGGGAGGGGTGTGCTGCTGCCAACCTAGATCCCCAAGCTTGATCATCCTGAAGGCCACAGATGCGTGGGGGTGTTTGGCCAGGGTGGAGGGGATGTCATAGGGTGCGGCTCTGCCTGGCCAGTGTGCTAGGGGGCGCGATGCCCCAGGGCAGACACCCGAGTGTGTGAGGTGCAGGCGGCCGGGGCTGATGCTGGCGCAGTGCCAGCCCTGCCTGTCCAGGAGGCGGCTCCACATTGGGCAAGGCGGACTTTCTCCTCCATTTGCCTCCTGAGTTCATCACCAGGGGTCTGTTGCAAGCATAGATGAGGGCTCTGCAGGCAGCGAAGACCAGCAGGGGCTCTGGTGCCCTAGACACTGGGCTCCGTGTCCTGTGCGCTGCTAGGGTTGGTGCCTCCGGGGGAAGGGCTGGTGGTGGTGTCGGACTCACTCCCATGTTTGCCGTCCCTGCAGCGGGCTGCCCGGTGCTGAGAACGCCCTCACCCGCACCCGGAGCTTCAGCAACGGCACCAGTGGGAGCGGCAGCAGCCAGCAGAACTCCCCCCAGATCAAAGCCTCGCCCAGCTTCCCCTTCGGCAGCGGGCAGCCTGCCGGCACCAGCCAGAGCCCTCCCAAGGGCGGCCCTAGGGGCACAGTGCCCGCCAGAGGTAAGCTGGGCCGTGAGCCCCTCCACAGCCTACTTCGGAGCCTGTGGAGCTGTTGCACCAGGCAAGAGCCCTGAGGTGGAGCTCCCCGGCGGCCGTGCGGCTCCACGGTGCTAAGAAACGGGGCCTCACGTGGGATGGGTGCTGCCACGCGTCTCTGCGTGGAGCCAGAGTGTGCAGGGCCCAGCTGGTTCCTGCCGCCCCGTGCAAAGCCCTGTGTGCTGGGACCCGGCACCTCGGGCTAATGGAGGTGGTCTCAGCTGCCTAGGCTAGGCTCCCATCCTGGGGCCCCTACTGCCCTCGGGAGTTATGACAGCAGGGCTTGTGCCTGGCTCGATGACCACTCTCTGTCGCAGTCGTTACCACCCGGGGTCCTCTGCGCCAGTAAAGCCTCATGCGGAAGCCAGAACCACACAACGGAGGCCACGTTGTAGACAGTTTCTGTGAGGGGAGGCTAGCACGCAGCTGACCAGCTTCAGCAGGGCCTGCCGCGGGCATCCTGACTCCGCTGTCATCAGCTGCGACCAGTCCTGGCACCTCCCCAAGCCCAGGTCCTTCACTGGGCTGTATCCCAAGTGCCTTCCTCCTTGCCCAGCCTGGTGCTGACTGCCACCTGTCTGCATTCAAGCTGTAGCAGAGCTAGGACCTGGCATGGCGGGCCTGAGCAGGGGGCATGGGGCTAATGAGCCGATCTGTGGCCGGAGGGGGGGGGGAAAGTAATAAACCACCTGAAACCTGAACCCATTGGCCTGTGTCCTGGTGCTGCTTCCCTCCCTGTGTGCAGAGCTGATCTGGCCCCCAGAGCACTGCTGTGGCCAAGGCCTGCCCCAGCATTGTGGGGTGATGTGAAGCAGCACAGGTCAGCTGCTGCCCTGCCACTGGCTGGGGTGGGGTTCGCTGCAGGGGAGTGCGGTGCTGCCATGGGGGAGAGGGGTGCGTGATGCATCTCCCTGGGGCACCTACTGCCTCCGGGTGCTCCGGACGGAGCCACTGCCCCGAAGCGGGTCCCCAGGTGCCCGTACACGTGGCGGCTGGGGCTGCATGTGGCCGGCCCACCTGTGCTGCAGGCAGCCCAGGGCACGGAGCCAACACACCAAAGAAGGTGCTCCATGCTTTCTGCGTCCCCTGCATCGCGCTGCCCCTCTGCAGTCCATACTCTGCCCTCGGCCCTGCCTGCTCCCGCGCACTGTAGCGACCCTATCTGACAGTCCCCGCGAGAGCCGGGAGGAGCAAATAAAAGGCCTCTGTCTCCACGGGCACACTGTGATGTCTGGTCCTTCGCGCAGCTGCGGCATGGGTGGGAGAACTGGGGGGGCTAGGGGCTGGTCCCAGCCTGCTGTTCCTCCCCCAAGCCATGTGGACAGGTGTGCCATTCTGTGGGTGTGTGTGGGTTTTCCTTTGGTGGGTTAATGACTGCAAGGTGTGTGTGCGTCTGTAGAACCTTTAAAGACCTATATTTTTACACAAAATAAAAAAACTCCTCCCGCAAGGCAGGAGCTTCTTCCAAGGGCCAGGCCTTATTGCCTTGCAGGCCTGGTCCAGGCAGGGCAGCCAGGGTGGCTTTGAGGCAGCCACGTAGCACCTGGCCCTTCTCTGTCCCATGAAATCCTGGTCCGGCCAGGATGGAGTCGGCCTGTTCCCAGGCTCCAGCCAGCCTCCTTGCAGAGGCTGCCAGGCCAGAGCACAAGCATGGGGGCTGCGACTCTGCCCCTGCTCAGGCTGGCTGCGGAGCCCCCGAGCACGCAGGAGGCTGCTCCCCCACCCAGTGGCTGGGTCCCAGAGGCTGGCTGTGCCCCTCCCCCTTACCCAGAGAGCTCGCAGGCCTGTCTGGCACCGTCCTCCTTGGCAAGGGCAGGTGGAGCCGGAGGGCGGGGGGGGCTTGTGTCTGGGAATGTGCGTGAGAGCTTTGTGACCTAACGAGGCCAGGCTAAATGGTGCCCCCGCTTCCCCCACCAAGCCACTGTACTTGGCTGGCCCCTGGCCAGTCACATGTACCACCTCCTACATGACATGTGTAGGCTTGATCCTGCTATCAGCCCTGGGCCACCTCTTCCCACACCCGCCCCAGGCAGCACAAGCGCCATAGACCCTTGGTGCATTGCTCTAAAGGTACCGTGATGCCACCCTGCCCTGGGCCATGCATGCCAGCACCCATGCTGCAGCCCCGTGCCTGCAGGGTTCACAGCTGTGCTGTCCAAAAGACAGGCAGAGGCATGCAGCCCCTCTGAAAGCCCAGGGCTCGGGAAAGAAATGGGGCAGGTGCATCAGCTTGCTGCAGCCCCCAGGGCTGGGGCCACCTTGGTGAGGCCCACAGAGTAGCCCCAATGAGAACGTCTGCCTGGCCCAGCATGCCCAGGCAGCATGGTGGGCTCCTGCATCCCGCTGGACATGACTGGGAGCCATTCATGGAGGCTTTGCACTTGCAGCTGCTCCCCCCTCCCCAAGTTGGCCTGTGCAAAGGCCCAACCTGTGAGGGTGGCACAGCCACGGGCACTGGGGGCATCTGGCTGCAGGGACAGGCCTGCCAATGCAGAGTGGGGCAGGGACACCTCTGCCCCTTTCTGACCCTCCTTTCTCCCCTCCCGCATAGAGCTTCGAGGCCTGGAGAAGCGGCGGCAGCACCTACCCAGGCTGCGAGTGGCACCTGGCAGCCTCCCTGCCTGTGCCCGGACCCCAGCCCGGCTCCTGCCGCCCCGCCTCGGCCTCAGCCTCAGCCTTGGCCCGGGCACCTGCTCCCTCCCCACCGTCCTCAGCATTGCAGGTCTGTATCCCAGCCAGCCCCTGGCCCTCGCCACCCTCATCCCCTCGCTGCAGACCACGGCCATGGCTAGCCTCAGCACTGTGCTCAGCTGGCACCATTGGGGTGAGAGCAGGACCACAGGCAGGGCCAGCTGGGTGTAGGTGCTGGCCTGGCTCAGGAAGGCTACAGCTGTGAAGGCCCAAGCTAACTCCCAGCCCCATGGGCCATGACTGTGTCTCTAAGTCTCTCTCAACCGCTAGCTGCACTGCCATGGCCTCGTGGCTCCCCACTCCCTTCTCCAGTGCTGTCCCCCAGCTTGGGCACCGCTGTCTGCTCTCACTCGGCTTCCTGAGACAGTGCTAGTGGGTCTGGGGCCGAGGGTGGCCATGCCACCAACCCATCTACTAGGGCTGTGGCTGGAGCCAGTGCAGATGCCCATGGGCTGTCCAGTGGTCCAGAGCTGCTGCCCTCCAGTGGGCACAGAGGCAGGTACATGGGCTGTGTTGCTGCCTCCAGCTGCCTGTGCTCCCTGTGGCCCTCTGGCTCCAGTGCCCACTGCCAACCTCCCTCCACCATGCTGGGCCCAGCCTTGCCGGGGCTGGGTACTGGGCAGGGCTGGAGTGTGGGTTAATTCCCCTCCCCCCCTACCAAGGAGGCAGCACGTGGCACATGTCTGGGTAGTGTTCTCCTGCCCCGGACTCAGATGGGGCCAGGGCAGGCTGGGCAGGGAGCGCCCGCACAGAGCACCTGGCAGCAAGCCCAGCTCCTGCCCCAGGCTCATTCATGGAGGGGCAGGAGCTGGGACACCGAGCCCCCACAGCAGGAGAAGTGGGGGACACGCAGCCTTAGGCACGGCAGGGATCTGGAGCCAGGTGGCTTAGGGTCAGGGCAGAGCAGGAAGATGCTATGTGTTGGGCGCCGTGAGAGCTGGCATCACCCCACAGCACGGCACCCAGCACCACCCTTAGCTTGCCCTATCCCGGGTGGGGGCACATCACACACTTCCCCAGCGCCTGTGCCTGCAAGTGCCACGCCACCCACAACAATAAAAGTGGTACCAAAACTGCCATCTCTGCCTGCTTCCATGGGGCCCACCTGCCTCTGTCTGCTGCATGCCTGGGGAGGACTCCAGCATCTGTGCCCAGGCCTGAGACCCCTGCAGACACGAGCAGGTGTGGGCCAAGGAGACCGAGCCATGGGGGCAACACTGGGGCCCCTGGATGGTGCTGCCCAGGGCCAACAGCCCTGCCTGCCCCCAGCACCTCATCCTGCCAGCCCAGAGCCTGCCTGGCAGGGTCGGGGTGGCAGGACACATGGCATTGGTGCCCTTCCACTGTCACCGCTGTTTCCTGATGACAGAGAAGCTCAGAGCAGTTGTGGGCTCCACTGTGGCTCCTGCACCTGTGGCGCCAGGGCAGGGTGGGATAGTGGTGGTACCCAGTGTTGGGAGCTGGTCTGCACCAGGGTCAGCAGGGGCCCTGCTCTGTTGGCTTGGCCCAGCACCCAGCAGCCCCCAGCTCTCCCCCAGTGCCACCTGGCTAGTAGGGCTAATCACTCTCATTTGTCACATAGGGTCCCTGCTCGTGGGCACCAAGGTGGGGGCCGCACTGGGCACCAGTACCGGATGCCCAGACTTAGAGCACAGCAGGGAGGAACCGGCGCTGCAGGTAACGCTTGTGGCTGGAGGAGTGGGGTGGCAGGGGCTGCGCTGAGCCCAGGGTCGAGCCCTGCAGGAGGTGGCAGGTGCCCATCCTGGAGGAGCAATGCACGGAGGCCTGGCCAGACTCAGTGGTGAAGGGGAGGGGTGTCAGGGCTGGACACACCACACAGCAGGGTGGGGGGGTTGAGCCCTCTGGCAGGCCACTGCCCAATGGGAGCTTCAGCCGCTGGGGGAAAAGCACAAGGCCTGGTTGTGGCCATGCTGGCCTGGCACTGCCTCTGGCCACAGCCCCAGGTCCCATGGCACAACAGGTAGGCCATGCTTCGGGTAGCATGGGCCCAGTTGACGTTGCCTGGGAACCCCCTCTACGCATCCAATTTTGCTGGTACCCTTTCTGCTGAGCCCTGCTCCCCACACAGCCCTGGCCCAGCCACTTGGCCCCCCCCCCATGCCAGGTACAAGGTCAGGATGGGGGTGGTGGTGTCCGCACTACTGGGTGCTGCTGCCACCCCACCATACCCCTGGGACACACCAGGGGGTTGCTCCACTGCAGCAGCCACAGGCTTTAGGGCACCCTGCGTCTTCCCTCCTGGCCTGACTCTCAGCTGCAGGGGTGCAGCTGGGACCAGAGGGGCTGGGGGTGGCAGCGCCCAGGGAGCCGAGGCCAGCCGTACAGCCCCCACCCCTTGCAGGCTCCTGGAGCCCAGTGGGGAACACCCATGTGCAGGCCCTGCCGGCTGCACCCCCCTCCCACCATCTCCTGCTTTTCTGCTTAGAACGCCGGCAAGAAGCTGAGCCCCAGGACGGTCTTTGAGCAGCCCAGGTAAGGGGGGATGCAGCTTGTTCCCTGCCTTCCTGGGCCCCAAAGGGACAGGCAGGCCTGGCAGGGGACGAGCTCAGCCCCATGCTAAGGGGATTGGTGTTGGGGCCAAGCTGCCCCCTCCCCTGGGCACAGGAGTCAGGCCCAGAGGCAGCTGGGGCTTCCCAGGGAGGGCCGGGCCCAGCTCCGCAGATGAGGCTCCGTGGAGTCCCCACCCTGTGCCCTGCTCTGCCAAGGGCTCCGACCCCCACAATGGATGCGGACCATGGGAAGGCTGCAGCCGCCCACAGACTGGGCTGGGAGGGGACAGCCCTGGGGCATGACAAAGCTACCCACTCTGGAGGGGGGCAGCGAGGCCTTGCAGCACCAGCAGGCTGGGGGTGTGGGGTCACTGCTCCACATGCCGGCGAGCCAGGCCCTCACCCCTCTGTGGCTCCCGTAGCTCGGAGGCGCTGTTCGCCCGCCCCAGCAGGATTCCTGTACGGAAGAAGGGGCCGGCGCAGGGCCAGGGGACAGGCAGTGACAGCGACTCAGCCCTCAAGGTGTGGAAATACAGCCACATGCGCCCGCTGCGCCGTCCACTGTCAGGTACGAGCCCAGGGGGTGGGCGAGCCTGGCACCCCTGGCCCACAGAGGAGCCGGGGGGGACGGGCTCCAGCAGGGCTGACGTTCCTGCATCCGCATTGTGACCCCATTTCCCTGCAGGGCTCTCGGGGGAGGCGCCGGCGCTCAGCGCGGGGCTGCAGGCAGCAGAGCCGTTCTTCCTGTGCAGCGACGGGCACGAGGGCCTGCTCTCCCAGGTACCGGGACGGGGGGGCGGTCCCGAGGGGAGTGAGGCTGGAGGCTGCGACTGGGCCTGGCACAAAGCCGAGAGCCTGCCGGGGCCGCGGCACATGCCACCGCCCAAGCCTGCTCTCCCCCGTCCCCACAGCGCCTGCCTGGCCAGGCCGCGGCCTCGCCCCCGCTCAGCTCCTACCGCCACATCCTGTCCTTCTGCACCGAGGCCTGAGGCAGCCGCCAGCATCCGCACCGGGTC